ATGGAAATGGAATTCTCTCATCATGAAAAGCTGCCTTTCTATTTACAATACAAGAGTGAAAATATTAATAATATGGCTGCAAAAGTAACATAAACCACTTTACATGGTAAACGAAAGGAAGGAAAGATGCATAGGTGGTGTTAAGGATAGGTGCACCCAGTGTTTAGCAAACTACTGTAGACCACACTCTTAACAGATTACACATGTGCACACATACATGTGCAGATACAATGTTAAAATAGTCAATTTACAATAACTCATACAATATTCACCCTCAATATACAATAAATTGGGATTGAGCCTGAATCTACAGCTCAGCACAGGTGACTCCATTTACAGTTCACAAGGATTGAAAACCCAAGATCTGGACCCATAATGTGTATAACTGTTACAGTATTCAGTAAACATGTGTAGTCAGCTAATGAATCTAGAAGGTTAGCCTCTGAATCAGTTTATCCCATTTTTTTTTTACCCTTAGGACCAAAGGGCATAAATTGGTAGCCTAGTTTACCCAAAGGATAAAGTCTTAGGGGTCCTACCACTGTACAGTACAACTTGGAATACTTTTCAATCATCACAATTTTACCATAACCCCATGATCAAGGTTCAATCCCTTTCAGTTTTCAATTCACTTGAGTCTCCCAAAGGAAAGAGGGAGACAATGAGAGGAATTACCTGATCTGTGCTTATTTATAAAGCATCACACCATGGGTAACTCTAATTACTCAAAGCAGGTAAGAAATAGGGAGGGCAAGGGCAAAGGATCTTGCCAACTCATTCCCTTCTATTCTGGATTGATGTGAGGGATAAAGTAAGGCCAAAGGTGATACCAAGCACCTAAGGAAAATGTTGAGTTGCATATGCTTGACTGCCTTAATACTTATTACAAATGATTTGTTCCTGGAGACCCAAAACTAAATTAAAGATTCATTTAAGTGCATCCTGCTGAAAGTGAGCCATCTTCCCTAAACATTGACGAACAGCTTGAAGTGGAAGAAGAGAATGAGGGGGTGTCATTGAACCGTTTCTAAGCTTTGATTCTCAGGGAAGAACTTCAGACTCAGTCTAAGAATAACCCCCAACATGGAAGAATCAGACAAAATAAATCCTTCTTCCCTTCTCATAGCATGAAGCAGAGGCTCACCTAATGGTTGTGAGTGCTTGAAGAAAAGCAGGCCTCTAAACCTGAAATTCCTTATAAATAACTGAATACAGTACAACTATAACTGATACTAAATAACCGCACACCACTCTAATACTGTACATGCATACCCGGTATATAATTTTGGAAGAGGCTAACGCCCATATTATTAAACATCTTCCCTTGAAGAGGGTCGTCATGTTTCAACCCAAGTTTTAAACTAAATGAGTCCTGAGGGACACCGCAGTACTGTACTTAATGGGGTGGTGTGGCGGTAGGATTAACTAATTCCAATATTATAGATTAATTTTATTGGAATTAGTTAATTTTACTGCCACACCACCCTGTTAAGTTCTGTACTGCGGTGTCCCTCAGGACTCATTTAGTTTAAAACTCGGGTTGAAACACGACGACCCTCTTCAAGGAAAGATGTTGTTTAATAATACGGGCGTAAAATGATTCATAATCTCAAAGAAACTAAGACCTAAAATTCTGCAGAACTGCAAAAAACTGTCAACAGAGTGCACCTCATATCATTTTCTGAATCATATGCAGAAAATGTGTTGTCTTCATATGCCATTTCCCCCCTAAAAAGGAGAATCCGCTCAGGATGATCTGTAAAAAAAAAAAAAAAAATTCTTTCCTTGTCCAATTCTTGTTTTATCATTACCATTTTTGGGGAGATGCTGCCACAAAAGAAACGAGAGTTACAAGGGAATTACCTCTGCTCTAAGTACCTTAACACCAACTACCACATTTACAGTATGTCCAAGGAACCAAGTTGAGAAGGCTTCCTCTCAGTGACTGTGAATCCTCAGATCAAACAAAACTTGGCTGGCTCATTCACCTACCGGGTACACCTTATCAAAAAAACAAAGAGTGGCTTTTTGTAAACTAGATAATCAGATGAAATCCCTTTAGCTGGTGAACCTTACTCAGCAGATCAAGGCATGCCTCAAGAATACAGTACAAGTATCTATAACCAGAGTTGTCATAGTCCTTCTGATGGGTTCAATTTGACAATCACAGAGAATTATTAGTTGCACAGTGGTAGAACTCTTAAAACTGAATTCTTTGGGTAAATTGAGGTTACCAATGTCCTGTTGGTCTCAGAGTAACATTTGGGAAGAATTGATTGATTCTGAGATTAATTTTCTGGATAACAGCATTTAACTGAATAAACATATTTATTCACCAATCACACAGGTTAGGGGTCAGAAACTAGTCAAACTCCATTTACTGTATGTTGACTTGCCCAAGGTGTGCTTAATCTATAAAATTCTGTACTGCATACACTTATATAATACCTGCCACCTCGGATGATTGTATGGGAACCAATGATCTGCCTTACATTGTGATGGGAACTGATTATCCTGTCAGGGTGAGGGCAAGGGGAGAAGAATAACTGTACTCGGCCATGAAAATAACATGAACTTTACAGCTCTTTTCTACTGTATGTCTCCTACATTTTCTTATCCATGTCAACAGTGAATTAATGCAACAAAATATAAATAATACAGAAAATGAAATGAAATATGACCTAGAAATATAACCTCTCAAGATGGATGCCAGTTTCTGTGTAAGTCTCTGTGTGGAGGTACTAGGTAGATGTAATATGTAGGGAGGTGGCATGTATATATGGGGATGGGATGGCATACTTGAGGAGATGGAGTGGGTGGGGAGGTGAAATACATAGCGAGACGGAATGTTTGAGAGGATAAGGAGTGTGGGAAGGTGGAATGTTTGGTGAGGTGGAGTGCATGGAGAAAGGTAATGTGTGGGGTTGAAATGTATGGAGAGGTGGAGTATGTATAAAGATGGAGTATGTGGAAAGGTGGAGTGCATGGAGAGGAGCATCAGGAGTTTTGGATGTGTGAAGTGTGTGTGTGTGTGTGTGTGTGTGGAGAAAGGGAATGTGCAGGAAGGAATGTATAGAGATGTGGAGCATGTGGAAAGGTGGAGTGTTTGGGGAGGTGGAATGTGTCTGTATCTCATATAATCAACAGTTTGTATTCTTGCTTTGCAATTTATTAACTTAATTTACAACCAGTACATACCTAATTTTTAATTATTAATATATAATTCCAAAGAAAACAGTAAAACAAATTCAGGATAACTTTTTTGCTCTCTTAATTACAGTAATGTATACAGTAGTCCCTCGATTAACGAACGGTTCGATTAACTAAATTTCGGTTAACGAATTACCTCCCATAAGGATCTTCAATTCGCTTAACGAACTAAACTAAGATTAACGAAATCCTTACGACAAACACGTTTTGTTGTGAGCATCAGCTGATCAACTGATGGGCTAGTCTGCCAATTCAGTAATCTGTTCTATGCTTGCATTCGTTTCCAGTGGAGTAAATATCAAGAAAGTTGTGCTCTTTAATATTTTTACATTTTTTATTTTACAATTACAATTATTAGCCATTTTAAAATTTAGTTAACATATTGATAATATATGCAATACAGGGAACTATTTTTATTGTGTGCCCATCAGCCGGTTGACTCACCCACCGGGCGTCAGTTTGGTTTTGTTTACAGTGGAGTGAACATTGATTTTGTTGGCGTCTTAAATATTTTTGCATTTTTAAATTAAAATTATTTGTCGTTCTGAAATTTAGTTAACATATTCATAATATATAGCCCAGTGCAATGTTGATTTAAATACTGCAGAATAATCTTGTATTGCACCTAGTGAACTTAAAATTTTATTGGTGAAATTACTGCATCAAGCATGGGTCCCCTGAAAGGTGATTTCTCCTCCATCCCCATTTCCTTCTCTTTTCCCTTCTCCTCCACCCCCACTTCTAATTCCCATCATCATCATCAACCAGGAACCTTCTACATACACACCTCAAAGTAAGTGTACTTTACTGCATTTTTTTTTTTACTTTGTATGTACTTTTCTGTGAGCTGGAACCAATTACCCAATATCCCATTGAAACAATGGATTCGGTTAATGAACGACTCTGTGGAACAAATTGTCTTAGTTGACTGAGGGACCACTGTACAGTACTGTAATTACAAATTAATTTTGACTTTTGACATATCACATCTCCAAACACACCACTTTTACACAAGTCTCAGGAAGGGACCCTGGTGTTGGCAAAAGTACCACATCACTGAAATTAACTTGACTACTGGAGCCTTGACACTGGCCACTCCCACATTCCTTACTCAGGCCAGTTACTCTTTTAACTCTTTGGGCGAGTCATAAAATGTCCTGGGCATTTTCTAAAGTTGCAACTTTGCAATGCAAAAAAAAAATCAAATTATTCAGTATACTGTAGTTTGAAATTTATTTTATTACTTAACTTGTATCTAAAAAGCATGAGATTTCTATTTCTGGCATTAAAATTTCTTGGAAATCACATTATCTTGTGGAAAACTATTGAGGGTTTTTATCATGAAAATGCAGAAAGTGATAAAAATGCCAATACTGTACTGCACTTGCCCCACCTTTATTGTTTCAAATGGGCCAAAACTAATTTAGAAGCATGTTTATTATAAAGTCAATCATAAATTATTATATGCAGTATTCAATAATATCGGCAAGTTGTTATTCTTAGAAAATTGATTGTTGACAGCTACAGCATTACTGAGACTGTCACACCTAAAGGTAATGTTGCTGAAGTAGCACTAATGCAACTGTCACACCCAAAGGGTACCCATATAGTCCTCTTTTCTTTCACCCTTACCAATTTTCAACTGATGCTCTTATACCCATCTCTTTTCCTTACTGAGCACACACACCCACACATGAATACTACACAATAAAATTCTGAAAATCTATTAAATCACAATTTCAAAACCAATATGTAAAGAAATTACCTTATGAGCTATATTTAACACCTACCCGATCTGACTGAAGGCATGAGGCACTATAAAACGGGTGATCTTCTTCATTCATAAAGCTGTCTGGAGCTGTACTTGCATGTTTTAACTCTGCAGGACCACTGTTGCTCTTGGGAACGTTGCTACTTCTCTGCCCACTCTTCTTTCTTATTCTCCTTTCATCTTTACACTCATGTGACCTCCATCTACTATTACCACTTTTAGAACTCCCAACATCTGAAGATTCACTATTGGAACTTGAAGCTTTACTACTAGCACTAGGTGTTTTATGTTTAGTTCTTAAGGGATAAGAAGCACAAAATCCATTCTCTAGAATATTAGTAATGGATTGACTAGAAGGCACATCCTTTGGACTAGACACACTGGGTGAATGTGTGATACATTCAACGTCAGTTTTGTAATTAGTAACTCTATCACGTTGGTATGCAAAAATATTAAGGGAATCCGTGCATGATTTTCTATTTTCATTAATAGTCTCTCTAAATGCTGGCTGCCGGGCAAGCTTAGGAGACTGGGTGCACACTTTGTCAGTTCTACTGCTTGTGGCAATGAGGGGTGCAAGGGCAACACTACCGTTTACCTCAGACACTGGCTGGCGTACGGATGGAGACTTGAGTGGTGATTTAGGACTGCATTCTGACAACCCTTCATTTGTCTGTATCCCACAAATAATAAAAAAAAATCCCATTGTAAAGTCATATCTACTGTAATTGTACAATAAAATCATCTGACCTAATCAAAACATAGTCAAGCTCTACAAGTACAGTAGAGTACCTGTCAATCAGAAATTTTCTACTTCATGAAATAATCTATTCTTTGAAAGATTTGAACATTCTACATATAGTACTGCGGTATATTATATGCTTTCCTTGGACACATGTTTATGATAGTAGTATCCATTTTACATACCGTAATTATCCATATTACGAACCCTCTTGGTCCCAAACATTTTGGTTGACAGATACATTACTGTATACTTGTACTATGGTAAAGAATAAATGTACTATATACCAATTACTATTCATTTGCTCATGAAATTTACAAGGAATATAAGCAAAATTATAAAAATATCTTCCTAATTTATAAAATAAGTTGTTTCCACTCTAACAGGATGGCTAGAGAAAATCTTCCCTAAGCACTTTTGTTTCTGTCTACAAAGAGTATAAACAACATAAGTTCGCCTAAATAATTCATGACCCCTCAGCTCCAAAAGTGGCAAGACCTTATACAAATTAGCAGTACCCCTATCATCTCTTTGAAAGGTAGAATAAAGGAGAAAAACAAAGTCACAGACAGTCACACTGACGATATGGGTCATGACAATATCCCTTTGGCTCTGGTAGCCAAAGGGTGAAATACAGTCAACCCTCACTTTACGCGGTCCCACATTCCGCGTTTCCACGGTGCCCTGCCAGAACCCAGGATGCTCACATTCCGCGGTGCGTGTACCCCTTTACGCTGGTGAAATATAATTTTTTAATTTAGCTCATAAAATTCATACAAATTACCCGGCCAGAATATAATTTACATTACTGGAATTCTTACAATTTGATGATCATTTTGAATATAAACATCATAGATTTTGCATTAGACATACAAATTTTAGATATAATGATTTACTCTGAGTAAATATGTTATCTTTTGTGCAAAATATATGACATTTATATTCCAAATATTCCTGGTCTTACAAGGAATCCAGCTATGTCAATTATATTATCCTGACTTTAGTCTGACGTATTATTTATTACTATAAAGATAAATAGTCTGGTTTTCCCACACATTTATCTATGACGGAGGGTTGGGGGGGTGGGGGGAGGGAGGGACCGTCTGACCATCTAGCAAGGTGTGAAGAATATTTTTTTTTTTATTAACTGAAGATATTTGTTTCAGCTCATAAAATTCATACAAATTACCCGGCCAGAATATAATTTACATTGCTTGCATTCTTACAATTTGATGATCATTTTGAATATAAACATCATAGATTTTGCATTGACATACAAATTTTAGATGTAATGTTTACTCTGAATAAATATGTTATCTTTTGTGCAAAATATATGACATTTATATTCAAAATATTCCTGGTCTTACAAGGAATCCAGCAATGTCAATTATATTATCCTAACTTTAGTTTGAGGTATTATTTATTACTAGTGGTTTTCCTCCCAAAATTTCTCAGAGAGGGAAGAGCCAGCAAGTGTAGTGTGAGAAGAGGGGGAGGGAGTTGAGTCCATTATTTGAATGGACATTAAATTGGCGACTGTATTTCTCTATTTCTCTTAAGTATAAATTGTGTGCATGTACCATCATAAAATTAAGATGTTATTTTTACTAGAACATAGGTATTGTGTCGGAAAAAGTGGAGTTTGGGGGTCAGCCGGTCTCTATTTCATTTAATCCCATATGTTATGTTATTCACTTTACGCGTTTCTCACTTTCCGCGGTACCCTGTGGGTTACATTAACCGCGTAAAGTGAGGGTTCACTGTATGTTTGAAAATTCTGAATAGTTATTCACTTACAACACATATGTATCACATACCTTAACCTAGTAGTATAACTCAATCTAACCTAACCTGAGTTAGGTTAGATTCGGTTAGGTAATTTTATTTAGTTTGTTAAATGGGCTCGTAACCTAGGTTAGGTTAGGTTAGGCGCCCAATTCATGAACTGAAAAATTTCACAAATGGAGCATAACAATAGCCACATACAGCACAATGCAAAACTGGTTTAAATCCTCTATGCACATAATTATTTATCAAAATGAGTTACAAAAGAATTTCATAAACATACATGCAATACTGAATATAAACTTAGAATTTTCTATACTGTACATGTGTCTGCTTCAAACATCAATCCATTATATCCTCTTTTATCACTCCTAACTTTACCTCATATCCTCGCACAACCACCATTATTGAAGCAACTTAAAGTTACCATTCATGCTACCACCACCTTTAATAATTACCTCCATCAGCAAAAAAACCAGTGTTTCCACTACTGTACCACCATCGTCCATAATAAGAACACCATTATTACAATTACTGTTATCACCTTAAGTACTTTTTAGATGTCAACAGCAGCACCCATTATCACCATTGTAATCATCACTCCTTAATACTATAACAATATTATTACAGAACAAAAAAAGTATTACCAGTGGTATCATCCCTTGAGCATTTAATCCATATCAAGCATTTGAGATTCAATAATTCATCTGAGGAACTGAAATAACAAATCCTGTCTTTCACTTTATATCACTCAAATTCAAAATAATTTTCAGCTTTGTACACTCTTATTACAATTATACACTTCTCTTAATAAAAAGTGAATTTAGTTCAACAAATAACAACACGAAGAATCTATATTATAATGATCACTTATTAATCCTTTTAAATACAGTAATTATAGGACAGATAAAGAAATGTGTACTATTAAAACACACAAGGGTTACCAGAGATAATCTCCTACTATGAATCTTGGACAGGCAATCCATGTTTTAAGAGCAAAAGTATCTGGTCAAGCTTGTGTGCCAACTTGCTGTACAGTACTGTACAATATTCAGAAGCTAGACTGACAATACTATAGAAGGCAGGGACAGAGTGAAAGTAGACCTCTGGTGAATACAAATTATGTGAAGACTGTATTCCTGAATACAAATTAGAATGACAAGGTTATTATATGAAAGCTTCAACAGTAGAGAATAAATGTTAAAATGCATGTGTAAATGAACATTAACACAGACATGCACCCATTCATGAACTATACAGTATATATGAACATAGTCACACAAACATGCACACACACATTAAACTATCCTTAAGAGTTATACAGTATAAACAGTGTGTGTGTGTGTGTGTGTGTGTGTGTGTGTGTGTGTGTGTGTGTGTTATTTTTATTTTAGCTTCTGGACTTCAAATACAAATCCTCTACACACTAGCAGGGAAGCTATGTTATTTAATCACCGTGGTAGTCAGCTATTACATAAAATCTCCCCCCAAAAATTTAAGAGTTTCATGAAATAACTGATTTTTAGATTATCCTGTTCCACAAATTCCCTAACAGCACATAAATGAATGTGTAACTCACATGGTCAAAAAACATGGTTAATGGTAAGGTTATATTAGCTGACATTGATTACATGAAATCCCTAGAGTATTTTAAGGATTGCTATGTGAAATCCCTAATACTGTAACACAGAATCCCTATAACTTAGACAGAAATATAAATCCTCTAGACAGTCAACAACAAAAAATATCACGCCACTTTCTGGAACACAGGATGAAATGTTTATAAAACTTAGGTACAGTATACCTCTAACTGCCAATCAGACGGTTAGAGGGTGAATAATACTTCTCACGTCGTACACGAACATTATAATTCGTGTACAACGTGAGAAGTATTATTCACCCTCTAACCGTCTGATTGGCGGTTACAGTCAAACGTGTTGAAAGTCTAGAGAGAAGCCAGGGTAGGTGCTGACTCTAAGATTGGGTAGCTATACTGACATGCCCACACCTATAGCCTTGCCCCTTGGCTGGTCAGCTATGGCTGAGTCAGGTGATTATAATTATACATAAACAAACCCCCTTCACACCCTCCAACCTCCTTCTGGGCCTCTCATCTTCAACCATCTCAACACTCTACATTGTGAGTTACAGCCTAACATAACATTTGTTTATATGTCATCATAATTATGTACCGCTTGCAGTAAGAATACCAATGAATGGCTGAGGTATTTGCTCATCTTCATCATACCCCAGGGCCCCTGGGGCACAAAAAAAATTTGTTGACTACATAATTCATCATAAAATTAATAATGCATATTTTTTCTTAAGCCTTTAACCAACACTGTACCATTATACAGTGTATATATATATATATATATATATATATATATATATATATATATATATATATATATATATATATATATATATATATATATATATATATATATATATATATATATATATATATATATATATATATATATATATATATATATATATATATATATATATATATATATATATATATATATATATATATTAAAGTTTACTCACTTAACGTCGTTAGAACTAAGAGGGCCCTGAAAGTGAACCAGCGATTAAGTGAACAACCGAGCATATGGGATTAATTCCAATAGAAACTGACCCCCAAACTCCACTTTTTTGAAGACACATAACTTTATGTTTGTAAAATAACATCTTAATTTTATGATATGTACATACACAATTAATACTTAAGAAAATGAAAATACAGTACGCCAGTTAATGTCCATTCAAATAATGGATAGCTCTCCCTCTCACACTACCGGCTCTTCCTCTCTGAGAAATTTTTGAGAAAACCACTAAATTTTAATAAATAATACCTCAAACTAAAAGTTAGGATAATACAATTGACATTGCTGGATTCATGTAAGACCAGGAATAATTTTGGTCTCAAATGTCATATATTTTGCTGAATAACATACTTACTCAGATTAAAAATTGTATCTAAAATTTGTATATGCAATGCAAAATATATGATGTTTATATTCAAAATAAATCTTATCAAATTATAAGAATTCAGCAAATGTAAGAATTATATATTCTGACAGATAATTTGTATGAATTTATGAGCTAAAACAAATATCTTTAGTTAATAAAAAAAA